TCTCGCTCGCTTCCGCCGCGTGCGGCTGGTGAAGACGCAGACAGTCCACGCCACAGATAGTCAGTCGGCGGCAGGCAGCGTGGTCCGGAGGGCGGAACACGGAGGGGACTCTCGGTGGCACGCGTGTTAAACGGTGCTTAGAGTGTCAGCTTGTAGCCCACGGTCTTCACATCACGAAGACCCGTTCCAGTAACCACGCCACACATAATTACACAGCCCACAGGAGCGTCACACCAGGCCGCGTCAGCGATACCGGCACAAGGTGAACAGCAGCAGGAGCCCCCCAGTAGATGCCGTGTACTGAGTACTACGCGCAGGAGCAGGCGGCATTTAGTCGTTCTGTTGACGTCAAAGCAGATTTCATACAGAAGGGAAGACGCAAAAAAAGTCCATATTTTTGGTAGGACGGACTGGTGTGGATACACCGGACGACGGATGCTCAGGCGGGTGGTCCGCTAAGCGCAGCACCTACAGACATCACAGGCTGGTGAGCGTGTTCTCGATGCGGGATGCACCTGCTAACGACATCTCCACAAATTTCCACTAACTCAACTAACTGGCTACGAGTCGCTACAGATACTCACCTCATGGAGGAGGAATCCGTGAATGAATACGATGTGGGCAGCGTGTCTTATTAGCGGTCGTGCTCGAACTGCTTGCTGGCCCTGCCGCTAGCTAGACACGGAGTGACTGCTGACACCAGCGTGTCGTCCTTCCCCACTTCAGCTTTGCTTCTGCCGGTCTACTAGCTACAATGACGCACTGTTGGGAGAAGACTACTTGACTTTTTATCTTTGCGTGGCTCCCGCAGTAGTGCCGCACGTGGGGTAGAGGCGAACGCGTTGTTGCTGTGCTGCTGTGTTGGTGCCGATCGTGTACACTGCGCCGAAGGGGGGAAGCAGTCCAGCAGACTTCACTAGCATTCCAGTACGCCCAGCCACCAGAGTTTGGCTCCGAGTAGGTGTTCAGGTGCACGTGTACTGGCAAGGAAAAACTCGGAAGGTGCTCCCGCGTACGCTACACACATGGGGAGCATATCTGCGAGGGCATTTGTCTGAAGGCCTGCAGACTATCGTCAGCACCACCTACGAGACGGCGTATGCATACGAAGGCGTTTGCCGCTGAAACGAAACTACTTGTGTGGACTTGCTTATCTGAAGTTCCCAGAATCAGCGCTGAACGGCGCCCCCTGCTCCATAAAGATTCGGCTGCATTGAAGATCGTGCTCCGTAAACAAAATGGAGTGCAGGCTCGGTGGGGAATCGGGCTTTGGCGAGCTCGAGTAGTAGTCTCTTCAGCGGACAAAGCCCACGGCATTCCATCTCGGAACGACTGCAGGACCGAGGAACTACTGTGCGGCTTTCCTGCTGAGGCTACGCGCACCCCTGGTGCATCACCAGACATGTGAGCCCTCCAAACAGCGCACATTTCAAGATGAAGATACGATTGGATCTGCGCTCACCTTTGGGTTGTGGGCTTCGCCTGGAGATCCGTTGCAACCGCCTCAAACGTGCGTGAACACAACGTTACGCTATTTGATGGTGTACATGGAACGCTTCTGCGGACGGCCAGCGCTTTCTCAGCACTTCACATTGAGCAGCACCATCGTCGATATCGTGTACTCGCGCTGACTGTGCTGAGCAGCTGCCTGTCGTTTCCCTAGGTAGCTCGTAACCGGGGCCGCCGGCGCACGTCACGACTTCTCGTACGCCATAAGGGCATGATCTGTTCCATCTCCGCGAGTGCTTGTCAGGAGTGCTTCGACACTGGAGGGAATTGCGGGCGCATGGTCCAAAGGCGAGAGCGTCACGCCGCCCCCCTGGAAAGCTATTCTGTTCGCCTGCGTACGTGCGCGCCCTTCAGGCTCCACGAACACTAGCTACTTTTACCAGCGCTCAGAAGCGCATCCCTATGCAAAGTGCTGCATGAAGCTCCTTTGTCCACGCGTGTCTGCATATCACACGTCGCACCCTTGTGGGACAGGCACCTCTGCGGTCCGTCTCTTCCTAATCATCCCATTCGTTTGAGTGCCACGGTACCAGAATTTCCTGCGAATACCGGACATGAGGGCCACAAAGTCCGTCGTTTACAGAAGTTTCACGGTGGGGGCTTTTCTATGTGTCTCTTGCCCTCCGGGTGACGATAGTGTCAGCAGCCCTCGAGAGATCCTTTCGCCGTACTCAGTACCTGTAGGTATGCAACAATTGCACGTAGGCTGGAGGTAGGGCGCAGATGTCCTAACAGCAGAGAAAAAGCCTTAGGCGCCGGGTCTCCCCTTAGAGTCGTTGCTTAGAGACGCGCCCGCGGCGGCCACGCACCGCAAAAACGGAGTGTAAGCATGATGAACAGCCTCAGAGGCACGGGAAGCATATCCGATCACCAGGTGACAGCTGCGGAGCGGAGGCCGCACGGGATTCCCCTCCATGCCAGGCGGCAGCGTGCGGCGCCACAAAACGTCGTGTCAAACCGCACGAGCGCCTAGAGATGCTCAACAAGAAGATTTACCAACGCAGGTCCCCTTCGCGCTAAAGCATCCTTCCTTCCGTTGAGACGGCAAACTACAGAGATAGTCCAATCGTGTGCAGGATGACATGCGCGTGCGGCGCCAGTTGTAGACGTTCACAAAGAACATGCACACACAAATACACGCGCTTACACAGTCACGTGATCCACCTACCGTACCCGGAGTACCAGGCACGCGTTCACCTACTTGTAACAAACCGTTAGCAACGGAGGGGTGCGCGAATCACAAGTACTGGCCGAGTAGACCGGCCGTATTTTCCGCTTTTGGGAGACGGCTTTCAGGTCATTCAGCGGGGCCTCTAAATGCCGGCTCGTTTTTGGTCTTCGCACGCATGACTGAAGGACCAAGAAACGAGAAAGAAGGAAGGGCATGTCCATTCATAGGCATCATAGTTTACACCTGCTGGGCTCCACAATACCCTTTACATACACCACCGTTGGGAAGGGACTGCGGCAGGAAAGCTTAACATCTACGCGGTGTCGCGTTGAGGGTGACGCTGGTGCGTACGCGCGCAGCACAAGCTGAGAAACTGTGGCGCCAAAAGAAAGAGGGCAAAGTCTAGGAAATGAGCTGCTTTGGGGATGCCTCAAATCTGGAACACCGCAAGCTTTCTTCAATCCTCTTCGTATGCCGCTGACCGCGCAAGTAGGCCGTGAGGCAACACGAGGTTTCTGCTGCAGCACTCCACTATTCCCCGCATCAATTGCGTCGGCGTGGGGGCAGAAGTGACAAGGCAAAGCGAAGGAAACGAGCTATCGGCTCTCTCCTTTCACGATGCCTTACGGCCAGAACCGCGCGCTTTCAGCACTCCACCCACCACAGAATAAAAAAATAGCGGCTTCACGAGAAAAAAAGGCGAAGGGCGAAGAAGAGCGCTATTGATAGTAAGCTTTGGACACGCCTTCAGTCCGGAATTCTGTGAGCATTCGTCACTCTTCGCACGCCCCACGCCAATCAAGTAGACCCGGAGACAAACGAAGGCTTCCTTAACCTGCTGCAGCACTCCGCTGTCCCTTGCACCGATTGACCCGGCGTGGCACCGGTAGAAAGAAGGCGAAGTGGAACAAGTGAGCTATGTGCTGTCTGCTTTAGTGGGGCCTGAGGTCCGGGACTCTGCGAGCTTTCATCATGCCCTTCGCCGATGAAACTGACCCCGAGACTAGCCGAAGCTTGCTAAGCGTGCTGCACCGCTTCGCTATCCCCTGCACCGTGTGACTCGGCTTCGAGGCAGATACTGCAGCGTACAACGGCGCAGATAGTCACACCCACATGGACGCGTGTGCCATTGTGGCGCCCGTAGCAGGCTACTCACCCCTTCAAAGGGAGAAATTATCCACAGGATCGCAGGGGCGCATGTGCCGTTGCCGCGCCTGTAGCCGGATATCTCACCCTCTAGAGAATTAGCCGCCCTCAGGCGCTTTCACAACATGCCCGTGCAAACATTTACGCCAGAGTGCTCCACCACGCATAACAATGTTCTGGGGGAGCGGGCGCCGTTGTGGCGCCTGTGGCAAGCTGCCTCCCCTTTCAGAGTGGAACCTTATCAATGCTCCTTCTACACGCTCGTGGGACCGTTTGCTAGATAATGCTCTGCCCCGAGGAACGGCCCTATTCAATGGCGTGCTCCGTGCGAATTGTCTGCTGTCAGTGTTGCTGGCCTTTTTGGTTTCCTCAAGGGTCGACAAAATGCAGTGCACCGCCAGAGCGGCGCTGAGCAACTGAACTCCCAGGGCTACCCTCCGGATATTTGCTTGCACGTCTTCATAGTCGTATACGAACAGGTTGGACCCGTGCTAGCGTGCCATCGTCAGCGCGGACTCTCCCATGTATGCGAGTACATAAGACTGGGCATAAACAGCAGCACCAATAAGCAAATACAGAAGCAGACAAAAGCTGACAAATAGCAGCGAACACCGCCAAAGAGATAGCGGCAGACAGCAGGAAATATGCTGTGCACCCGTCAGCTGGGAGTCGTGTGCACGGGGCTTGCGAGATCCAAGCAGCTCCACCCGGGAGCAGCTACGCCGGCATCCGGCAAGAGTAACATGCGTATACAAGTTTAGGAACCCCCCAGACTACGTCTTCGCGGCTGTACAAGCAACTAGTCATCGAGAGACTCCAAGCCCACGGAAGATATCGTCGCACAGAGGCAGACGCAGATGACTGTCACCTCTCACAGCTTGCCACTTTCTCTGTAAGTGCGTCTGTTCGGACCGAAACAACTGGAGGCGGCAGATGCTCATCAACACTAACAGCTTGTCAGTTCCCCTGTAGCTGCGTTTGTTCGGAGAAACAGCTGCAGTCATCGCCATTCTGTCTATTTGTCAATACGGTACATGCGCACTCAGGTCCCCTTCGGGAACACCGGTGGTTGCGGGTCTGTCCCGCCGATTGTATTCCGCCCGGAAGGCCTGGGATAAGGTATTCGCCTAGAATCTCCGTTCCACTGCACCCACCCACACTTATTCGCAGAAAGCCGGCAGAAGGGATTGGAGCTTCTGCGATAGGGCACGACAATGGGGAGCGCCGTGGCAAAGAAAAAGCGCTTTGTACGATGAGGGAACCTCGCCTTCGCAGTGCCGGCAGCTATAAGATCGTGCATGTACTGTAGCTTCTGCGTCGCTACACAACACAGAGGACACGCACAAATGTCCGCACGGGTACTATTACTACAGCACACTGGGCAGGCTTTGCTTCTCGCCCTCTTCCTCCTCCTCCTCCTCCACAAAGACCTACCTCGGGATACATTGGATGCACGGAACCTAGGTTATGTAGGCTGTGTAGCGACGATGATGTAGACGTGCCCGGGAGCCCCCGTGTACAGAAAGAGCTCAGAGGGTAAGCACTGCCTGAATGCAGTAGTGTCAACAGTGGTCCAGCTGGGGCACTCTCGCACACTGAGAAGCCCCCGGCCTATCTACGACGAAGACCTACAACGCCCCACTTACTGCTTCTGCTGCTCCCTCATCAGCCACATGATTTTATACATATATAAATGGACATAGCATTGTACGTATATATATATATATATATATATATATATATATATATATAGTGACGGCCACTCAGAACCTTATCTGATATTTCTCGTTCCTGATGCTGCTGCGTTCCCCGCAGTCGCTCAGAAGTATGCACAGCAGACGCGTATGACACGGAAATGCGCAGACGCACACCGATCGTCGGACAAGCACATACGCACATGGATACAGGTACGCACCGCCGCGGACAATCTGCTACTCCTGTACTGCGTGTCGTGAGAGGCAATCGCTGCGTGTTCCGTATTTGTGCTAAGTGTGTTGTTGTAGACATTTGCTGGACGGTCTTCTATCTGTACCCTGTGCATCGTCGTAGGGTAGCGCTGCACAGTCTTCTGCTCCGGTTTCGCCTCTAGCTGTAAACAAGCGCCGCATACGTTTAGTTTCGTGGGCTGCGCATCGCTGTAAGCAATCGCTGCAGACTTGCCTATTCGTGTACTGTTGATCGCTGTTAGCAGCTGCTCCAGACTCTTCTATTCGTGTACTTGTAGGCCACTGCTGCAAACTTTCCTGTTCATGCGTTGTGTGTCGTTGTTGGCAGTTGCGGCAGACGAGTCTATCCATGTTCTGTGTCGATGTGAGCAATTGCTGCAGACTTCCATATTCGAGCACTGCGTATCGCTGTAGGCCATTTGCTGCACACCTTCTTGTAAATAGGCTTGGTGTTTATAATCTGGATATTACCAAGCTACTAAATTATGTAATTTGAATACACACTGTGTAAATATATATATATATATACTAAAGTCGACATATATTATATATAATACAATACAGGTAGATAATAATACATGCGATATATAGTATATAATATGATCTCCCCCTCTCTTTCTCTACTTACATCAGCCG